TTCAACTTTGCATTTAATATTGAATGAAGATTTTGTAAATCAATTGGGATGCTTCTTGTTTTCCTCTTAAGGAAATAAAATAATTATAAACTGGTACAGTTGTACTCATGTCCCAGGCACTATTCTGAAAAATAAATATATACATTTATAAAAGGGTTTAATCATTAAGTAACCGTATGATAGCAGTATTATTATACCTAGTTTACTTGTCAGTACTGTGGAATGGTGAGTTGAAGTGACATGGCCAAAGTCACAAGGTTGGTAGGTTTACAAAGAAGAATTTGTGCCTCAGCCCTCTGGCTCCAGAGACTTTCACAAACATTGTTAAGCTTTTTCTTAAGAGACAGAGCCTGTATGAGAGTTAAATTAAAACAAAGTTTCACCATACCTGCCTCATTTTTAAAATCATCTCTGCCCCTCTTTTATTTGAAGTTTTTATCAGTAACATTTAACCTTTAGTTCATTGCAAATTTTGCCAAAGCTCAAAGGTTTCTGTGACTTTGTTTTTATTTCTACACCATGTAGCATTTCTTTTCTTATAAGCAGGACATTCCATTTCTAAGCCAGACGTGGTTGACTTATTGGAACAAGGAAAAGAGCCCTGGATGATTCTGAGGGAAGAAACACAAAGGTGGTACACAGGTAAGGCAATCAGGGCTGTTACACCGGGGAAGCAATCAACAACCTATGTGGTTAGAGAGAGGAGACACTTCTGTAGTTGTTGTTTGTAAAGCTGTCCTCCCAGGTGCCAAGACTTGTGGAGGACAGGCCAGTGGCCTGGGGAGGAAATAAAGATCTCAACATGGAAGGAACTTCAACTTTACCCCATTTACTAGTCACCTTATTTCTCTTATATTTCAAACCCATTTTCAGTGATGGGGGCTCTCTTTTTTTTTTAGTGCAATACTTTATCTGTTATTTTGGATTCAACTGCTTTTCCAGCTCTTTTTTTGAATACCCACCCACAAACTCCCATGTATCAAAGCAGTGATAGTGAATAAGACTTATAAGGTCCCAGCTCTCATGGAATTTGCATTGTATTAGAGTAAGTAGACATAAAAATAAACAGGTAAACAA